AGGAATGTCTACAGCATATCCACATGTTGATAATATTGCAAAGTGGTAACATACTGACAAGTGTTGACCACTATGACAAGTATGTTTGTGAAGAAATTCCTGAAAAATATACTGATCCTGCTCTTTATGAAGCAATTGTGAAACATATGCTGCATAGATCATGCGAAAAATACAACAGTAAAAGCCCTTGCATGGTAAACAGAGTTTGTCGATTCCATTATCAAATGCCTTTTAGTTTAATGACCGTTCAAGAAAATGATGCATATCCGCTATACAAAAGAAAGAACGATGACAATGAGTTGAAATTCAATAGTATTTAAATTATGTTCTTATATATAACCTTATAACTACAATCAAATTAAATTTTCTTTTTCATTAACGTTTAAAATTACAGGAACAAGTAATAAATTCCATTTTGATAACTAATGGGTGGTTACTTACAATCCATATTTGCAATTGCTATATAAATGTCATATTAACATTGAAATATGCTATAAAATGAAGTTTGTTAAGTATTTATATAACTTTATCTATAAAGGTCGTGATAGAGCAGTTGTTATAGGATGATAACACTAACATCATAAATGAAATACAAGAGTTTCAAGATGCAAGATGAGTTTCTGCCTAAGAAGATTCGTGGAGAATATATGAATTTTGATTGAACGAAGTGTCCCCACCAATAATGAACCTCCAACTTCATCTTCCTAACCGACAATATGTTTCATATTCAAATCAACATAACTTAGCTTAGGTTGTTCATTCGGATCATGTCACAAGAATAATGTTGATGGAGTGTTTTGAAATGTGTAAAAAATATGCTACATCAAGAAATCTATTGTATAGAAAGTTTCCAGAATGCTATGTGTAGGACAGATGTCGAAAGTGGATGGAACGAAAAAAATGAAATGTTATCTCCTACATTGCAACGACAGATCCTGCTGAAGGAGAAAGATATTACTTACGATTACTATAGAACCATGTGAATAAACCTATTTCTTTTGAGTTCTTACTAACAATTAACAGAGTACAATATTCATTATTTAATAAGCACAAAAAAGAGGTCTTTTGGAAACGGAGTAGAGTATTCATCATTTAAGGAGGAAGCACAAAAAAGTGGTCTTTTGGAATCTAATCATAGTATTATTGAATGTTTGGACGAAGTAGTCGCATTTCAAATGCCTTTCAATTTTCGAAAACTTTACGTCACAATATTAGTCCACTGTGAACCTACTGAAGTATGAAAATTATGGGACATATTTTTGAAGGCTTTACAAAAGATTACAGAAGAAATGTTGAAGAATCATTAGAATATTACATTTAATGCGCTTTGCGAAAGATATACAGTTTTCCTCTAATCTATGGGAAAGACTGTTAATGTATATCTTTCCTCAACTTATTGATACATTTCATGGTAACAATGAACCTAATGCAAAGGAAATTTTAGATGAATACTCTGTCGAAGTTCTAAATTTTGATATTCACGTATCATCATATCTCAATCTAGATTAAAAAAAAAACATACTTTTGATTATATACTTAAAAAGAATGAATAGTGGAAAGGGAGGTGTTTTTTTTTATCGATGGACCTAACGGTACATGAAGAACCTTTTTATACCGTGCTTTACTGGCAAAGGTTTGATTCTAGAAGACAATAACACTTGTGACGGCTACTTCAAGTATAGCAGCATCAATAATACCAGGAAGCAGAATCGCCCACTCAAGATTCAATATTTCACTCCAGACTAATAAATCAACATTGTGTACTACATCAAAGAAAAGTACTACGATATAATTGATTTGACATGCAAAACTCGTAATATAGGATGTGCTAACAAAAATACAATAAAAGCTATTGATAGAACTTTAAGAGATGTCTAGACAATGTAGAACCATTGATAGAAATATTTTTTGCATTCGGAAGAGATTTTCGCCAAGTATTACATGTTGCCCTGATTACGCCAAAAGATTTACGCGGTGTTGTAGTGTAGTTTTGGGGTGTCGTTTTCACAGGGAGATAGAAAAGTTGTTAAATGTTCCAAAAAGTTGATCGTTCTCTCAAAATGTATAGAAAATCTCAATGTAGGGAAACTAAGATCAATACTTGAAATAATGGAATTAAAATTAATGNAAGTAATGCAATCAACAATGGAAAAAACATGATTAAATCCATGAACACTCTCATAATTATTAAACCAATTTCAGAATAAATTCATAAGAGTGGGAAATTTAAATCTTGAATTGTTTACAATATGAAAAGCTCAAAATGATGAATGAAAAGTGTTAAAATCACCGAATCTGATTGAGTTCCTCCTTTACTTCACCAAGATTTTTGACCTTCCATAGAGTTCTTGAGAGAAAATTGAGAGAAAAACTGATAGGAGATCAATGGTAGGCATTTTTCTTTGAGTTTAGGGTTTAAAGGACGTGTTAAAAGTTGTTTCCATAAGTGGTTGAATCAATTTAGGAAACTGAAAATTCGAAACAATAGTTACTACCATGCACCGTATGGTTATGCAGTTTCCATCCTCCCAATTCTCGGTAAAAGGCTAGGCGACCGCATGGGTGCGACCATATGGCTTTGTCATTTTTTCCTTCAGATAGCTTTCAATATTTTGGCCATAACTTTCTGCAAATGTCCAATTGTGGTGATTCAAGATGCGTTGGAAAACCAACTCAAAGGGGTACAACTTGTCTTCAGACATCATCTTCTATTTCGATCATATTCTATGTCAAAAATCGGTCTCAATTCGAGGTTGAAAATCGGTACAAAACTTTTCAACTTGAAAGTTGATATATGATAATATTTTGACTATGTTTCATCCCTTTGACTCCTTCCTTCATCCAATTGACATCAACACTCTCGAATCTTCACCACAAGGTTAGAAACAAGTTTAGAGTATTTGCCATTTAGTCCCTGAATTTTCACTTCCTTCCATTTTGGTCCTTTTTTGCTCATCTCTTTAATTTTCCACCGTTTTCACCCATTTGCAATCTAAACCAAGATATAAAAGTACTTAGTGCATTTAGGCGTCAAATAATCATAAAAACTCAAATATTAATCGGTGAAAAACATAACAAATGTGCTATTATCATGTCCCAAGAGCAACAAGATAATAAACAATTAGCCAAAATTTGGTTAGATTGTATGTTGGAAAAAAAAAAAGAAAAGCTACAATTAAATCAAAATAAGTATGTTCAAAATGATAATCGATTTGCACAATATTTTCATAGTTGGTAATGGAACAGAACCTTACATAGATGATGGCTTTATCAACTTACCAAAGGAGATAATTGTAGCATGTGATGATACTGAAACTTCAGAGTTATACTTAATTAATACAGTGTTCCCAAGTTTAACAGAAAATGCAGCTTCTTTTGATTATATGACACAATGTGAAATTTTTTCAATAAAAAATGAGTATATTTCAATAACAAAATAATATAGTTCTTTCTTGGAAAAAAGTGAAGAATTTGTCAGTTTTGACGAAACAATAGATGATATAATCCAATTTTACAAAGAGGGGTTCCTAAATACTTTGTTGACAAATGGTATCACATCATATCAGTTAATCTTGAAAAGAAACCGTCTAATTATACTCTTAAGGAATCTGGACCTATTTAACTGTCTTTGCAATGAAATCAGAATGATTTGTTGTGATTTTAAGAGGCATTATCCATGCAGAAATTACTTTTGGACAATATGTTGAAAAACAAGTTTTCATTTCGCACATCCCATTAACTCCAAACAAATGATGAATAATATCCATTCAAATTCAAGAAGAAATAATGTTCAACTCATTTATGCTTTGCAATGATCATTAGCAAGGCTTAAGGACAAACAATGCCTACTGTTGGAATATACTTTCATGAACATTTATTCTCTCATGTGTAACTATATGTCACACTTTCTCGCAGAGTTTTAATGCAAACAACAAAAATCTTGGTAAAAGCAAAAAAATAAAAAGAAGGAAAATCGTAGGATGTTGACAAAAAATATTGTGTATGAAGAAACATTATTATATCAAATATTACATTTCAGTTTATTCAACATTTTCACATTATATACATANAATACTTCAAAAAATTATTCATTCGATACATAAAATGTGCAACACATATGCTTACTACTAATTTATAATATATAAAATATCACATCGAGTAAGAGTAATTTTTTGGATGATTCTAACCATACTATAATAAGAGTAATTTTTTGGATGATTCTAATCATACTACAATCCAATTATTTCAATAATAGCTTGCTTTTCGTTTTTAATATGTATTTAATTTATTTAACTATTTAATTATCATCAATGTACATTTACATTTAATAGATCCATTTCACCTGTTTATTTTCATTAATGTATGAATTCCCTATTATTATTCTCAATTAATTAACATTCACATTCACATTCATTTAATCAATAATCATCTTTATTTATATATTTTAGTGTTATTAATTCTAATTATAAGTTAATTAGAATTTCTAATTCAAAAATGTATTTCATTATTCACGTCCGTGTATACTAATTAACATCCAATTTTATTTAATTAAAAATTAAATAAATGATTTAATATTCATTGTTGCGTATATATTTTTTGGTATTAATTCAAAATTAATTAACATTCACACATATTTAAATATTATTTTTACGATACTTATAAAACATTTCATAATAACTTAGAACGAGTTGACTAGTTAACGGAAAAAGGGTTTTCACGGGGTTGGAAGGTATAGAAATGTGGTTGTGGGCCATTGTGAAACGTGGACGTGTTTACCAGCAGGAATAGGTTCCGCGATTGTTGGGCTTCCAACATGTTAGTATACAATTTATAAGGAATTTATGCTCAAGTATTCCATTACTGTACAGTGGCTCAAACTATTCCATTCCTTCAAATATTTCAGGGTTCAACAATGGCTGCGACTGCGATTTCTAGAAATGGGAATTAAATATTGAATTGAAAGCATAAGTCATTTTTGCCTAGAGGGCTGGCTGGTGAAAATGAAAACGAAAAAGGTGGAGGAGTTTACAGCTGGGTATTATGGGCTTTGTACGGCGGGAGGAATGCTCAGTGCTGGGACTACCCATCTCGCCATCACTCCCCTCGATGTCTTGAAGGTTAATATGCAGGTATCTTTTTTCTGGGGTTTCCTTTTTTGGAAAATTTGTATACTACTCTCAGAGTCCACTGTGTGTTATGCTATGCTGGTTCTATAGAGCTTTGGAACTGGGGTTTTTGGAATCAATTTAACTTTTATTTATGCGTTGTCTGATTGAAATTCTGGTACAGAACTACATGTTATTGAAATCACTCTTTAGACTATTCTTTGAATAAAAATGGTATATTTTTATTTCAATCGAAGCAAAAATGGATCAAGGGCCTCTGACGTTCACGCCCCTCAAGAATTCAAAGATTATTCAAGTGTTTGTGGTTGCAAAATATCAGAAATCGTCTAAGTTAAAGACAAATTTTAATTAAAAGAAAACTCTTAATTTTTATCTTCTCGACAATCTGTTGTGAGTATTGCGCCGGGCTTCCCATCTTCATCCATTGCTGCTACTACTAGCTATCCTCGAGGATTGTGGATGATGGCTGAAAACTGAAAATCAAGAAACTACACCTCTAGATTTAGTTTGTGTAAATCCAAGGATTAATCTAGTCTAACATTGAGTCCCACAAAACTATTGAGCCTATGACGTATGTTTGGCTAGGTGTATAAAAACATGGGTAAATGAGCGATGGAGAAGTAGGTGGTACTTGTGAGTCCTACAAAATGTGTGGATAAAAATTGATTTAACCAATGTTTTTATCAAGGTGTTTATAAACACACAGGAACAATGAGCCAAATATAGGCTGTAAGTGCCTGTAATTTGATTCTGAAAAAATAGCTCAAGATTATTCAAGTTAAATACACATGAAAATAAAGAACACACCTGGAAAGAATTTCCAGTTATTTGCTCTCGTGTCCGTTTGTTTTTAAAACTGACCTTGCATAAAGCTGAGGATTGAAAGGAACATGAAAGTTCAAGGAAGGAAAACAATAACATCATGAGTACTTTTCATAATCTTCACATAACAGATTTTTTGATTGTGGAATAAAATGTTTTCCTTTTACATTATTCTCCATATGTCAGTAGCAACTGTAAATATTGTTCTCATACAAGACAATAAAGATTTTTCAGACTTTTATCAAAGATAGAATTGTGTACAAGTCTCCTTTGAATAATAAAGATCACGTTGCAATCAAATTCTGTTTCCATGCTTCTAACATCTTGAGTATTGCATAGAGATATTTAGTCTCGTGTTTCAGAATATTATACCAGATTGGTTTTTACATATTCTCTGTTCAAAATGAAGTCCAAATATGATCTTAGTATACTCAATTTCTGAGAAACTTAACCACCTTCAACCTTCAACTTAGCTTGCATGGAATGCCTATTGTAGTAGAACACCATTGTCTAGCATAAAACAACCTCTAAACAGACTGAAGTTTGATTAACTACGACATTGTTAATCATCTCACTTAAAAATTTAAACTTTTTCGAAGGGGCTACATTGCTCCTTCACGTGCAAACCGGATTCATTTTTCAATCAAAGGTCTGATATGTCAATTTTCATAAATGGGTGGTGCTGAGACTTGAAACTAGGTCTTTTTTGGGCTCTAACACATCTTAAGGTTTAAGAGAGCAACTGCATGTATTCATTTACATATTGTTTTCTACACGTGTCCTAGCACAACCAATGTTCATATGTTTTCTTTGGACCCTGCTCCTAACCACTGAAGACCAACCATGATTAAAAAGGTCAACATAAGTTAATTTTCAGGGAAAACAAAATCTTTACATTCTTTTTTCTGATTAAGCTAGAAATATTTTCCCCTCTTTTTTTTCTAATTTTACTAGGTTATTGGGATTCATCTTGTTTTCTTATTTACTTCTATTCTGGAAATGTTTAGCCTTCTGTGGCTGTTATCACACTTGTACAAAATGAAAAGATACATTAATTTGTGAACTAGAATTGCTACCAGTCATGCAAGAAATCAGAATGGGATACTTCAAATCAATGTTTTATTTGCATTCTTTTGAATGTCGTGTTTCATCATTGCTTTGAAATCAGAAATGATTTTTTCCATTTTCGTTAACTGCAAATCAGAGAAAAGGGAAATATATGTCAATAGTCCTGAGTTCTTTGATTGCATTATTTCTAACTATTAACTGACATAGTATGTAAATTTTAGGTGAATCCTATCAAATATAGTGGCATCCTATCAGGGTTTAGTACTCTTTGGAGAGAAGGCGGCCCTTCTGCTCTTTGGAGAGGTTGGTCCGGAAAATTCTTTGGTTATGGTGTCCAAGGTGGATGCAAATTTGGTCTCTATGAATACTTCAAGAAACTTTATGGAGATGCATTGGTAGATCAGAACAAGGGTGTCATATTCTTCCTCAGTAGTGCGTCCGCTCAGATATTTGCTGATGTTTCTCTTTGTCCATTTGAAGCTGTCAAAGTTAGAGTTCAAACTAACCCTAGTTTTGCTAAAGGTTTGGCTGATGGATTTCCAAAACTATATGCTAATGAGGGCCTTTCTGGGTATGTTCAAGTGCAGTGTGTATGGTTTTGAAGTAAATCTTTTACTAGAATGTTCACATTTAATCATGCTGATCTGCTTGAATTTAATTTGATTGCAGGTTTTACAAGGGTCTCTTTCCACTTTGGGGTCGTAATCTTCCATGTAAACCATTTTCATTCATTTAACGTTTTTTCTAGTTACTTATGTTGTCAACATGTGCTCAATTTGACACTCATTTAGGTTGTTGAAATTCAAGCATTTCTCATTTTGCCAGTTACAATTTCAAGTTATACTTTCTTGAAGAAAAATATTAGTTTAGGCTTCTTATTCTTGTATTTGGTTCAGTGGTCTTTTGACACCTTCCCCATGGGTGCATGTTGCTAGTTGCTAAAAATGGTGGCATGTTCAGGACATATCATTTTCTATATTGTGCAAACTTCAATATCATGGAAGTCCTTAGATTATTGTTTTATGCACTGCTTTTGTACAATAGTGTAATTGCTCTGCTGCTCAAAGCAAGCTGTTTATTTTGCTTCAAGTTGTTATATTTTTAGTCTATCTATTTGTGTTCTCATAAATACCTAAAAACCTATGCTGCATGGACACAAAAACGCACGTCAGACACTACACGGACACGCGATTTTTTATAAATGTAGGACATGGACACGTCAAGGACACATTAATTTTAATTCTTAAAAGTTGTAGATTACATATTTTATCTTGATGTTTATACTTTTTATCTTTTAATAAAATTAATTATTTTCCAGTTTTCATTTTTTCATGAAATCTTTTAAATTGGTTGAGAGGCTAGTTGTTATATTAAACTAACTTTAAGTTAAACTAGATATTACGCGTTTGAGAAGGAAATAATAAAGGTCATGGGGTGTCGGTGATGAACACGACAAGACACGTGTTGCACAAGGACACGCAGCACATGTAGGAGTGTCCTTACATCATAGATAAAAACCTCTGGTACTCTGTATTTTCCTTGGTGATTCCTCCATGGAATGCCACTTGGTACTTTCAAAGAATGTCAAAGACAGCATAAATTTATTGCTTGTTCTGCTATTATCTGCATACCTTGGAAATCTCAATAATGTTATGAGTTGTTGGCACCATATGTGCACTTGATTACTGTCTTCTCTTGCCCACTCTGTATTTAAAATTTATATGACTTCCTTAAACTCATTTCGCAGTCTCTATGATTATGTTTTCAACATTTGAGCATTCTGTGGATCTTATGTATCGCAACGTAATACAAAGAAGGAAGGAAGATTGCTCCAAATCTGAACAACTTGCTGTGACATGTCTAGCTGGCTATGCAGCTGGAGCTGTTGGAACTGTAATCTCTAATCCTGCTGACAATATTGTTTCATCTCTTTACAACAAAAAGGCTGACACTGTAAGGCAGGTATTGAATCTTAGTGAAATCCTTCAAACCGTCAGTGACATCCTACTTCACTTTAGTAGCTGTATTATTTTTGATTTGATGGTTTCCAGGCTGTAAAGAAAATTGGGCTTGTTAATTTGTTTACTAGAAGTCTTCCTGTTCGAATTGCAATTGTGGGACCTGTTGTTACTCTGCAGTGGTTTTTCTACGACACTATCAAAGTCTTGAGTGGACTGTAAGTGCCTCGCCTTTTTATGTATCGATGCCTCATATACGCCATCTTATTTACCTTAGTTTTTGGTGAGTTAAATATCACCAACATATAATTTTGGTCATGTTTAGCTACATTTCTTTTGAAATTAGTACAACTCAAAACTTTGTCCTAGTGATTGCCTTTACCTTAAGTTTTTTGGATCCCTAGACGATATTAATCTGTTATGGTTGGAGCTCAACTTCAACCAAAACCAACTAAACTTCAATCGAAATTAAAACACAATTAAATATAATCAGTTAGGAATCAATAACCCAAGCTGGAACTTCATTACTTGATTGGAATTATACAGAAACGACAAAATGTAAATTGCATTTCATTGATTGATAAGTTCTATTACAATGTGAACAAATATAAACAGAAATAGAAGGATCAACAGAGTAAGAAGAGGCAGAGAAGATGGAGACATATTCAGAGAAGTAAGACAAGAGGGATTCGGATTTAGAAACGAAAGAAATAAAGAAGAGAAGCAGATTTAGAAAAACAAGAGAAGAGGGATTACAGTACCTCAACTGTTAAGAAGAAGGACAGAGAGAGTGGAAAATAGATTCATAGAAGAAGAGGAGAGAACACAGCAGGGGAGAAAACGGCTGCAAGCCAGCTGTTTAATTCCTCGATCCTTTCCAAATGCAGAGATACCACTACATATAGACCCAAAAAACAAGGGCTTTGGGCTATCCCACTAACAATACAAGCCCAATTAGATCAAATAAAGGTAAATAGTCCAATAAACAAGAGTCCAGGACATCCCTTCCCCTTAAATTAACCTTGTCCTCAAGGTTCAAAATCTGAATGTCTTCTTTGTATGTTGTTAGCCGTTGCCTCATTCTCTTCACCATCCTTGGATTAAGCAAGTAGTGCAAAGCGACATATGCTTGGTTGACATTATCTACACCACCGTTAACCAGTATTCCCTTAACCAATGTCTCAATTTCTGACTTCTGAATAAAAGGGCTCCTACAAGGTTTGAATTTGAGTGGTTGTGTTCCCTCTTTCAATGAGATATTATGATCATGGGTTCAAGGAGGTGGCAGCCCTGCTGGTTCCTCAAATACCACAGGAAACTGATTAACAACTTCAGTGATTTAGCCTGGGATTTCCTCTCCTTTCTTCTCAGTGATGGAATACAATTGTCCAACAACTCCATATTGTTGCCTTTTGAATAAATTTTGTACTTCGTTCACCTCCATCGTCATTCCATGAGGTTCTGCATTTTCACTTCTTAATGTTATTTCCTCCTGCTTATGTTTGAACTGAGCATATCCCTGTTTGTAATCAAATATGATAGGTCCAAATTGACTATCCAATTGACATCTAGCACCACATCACTACCTCCTAACTTCAAGGTTCTCCTCTTATACTGGAAGTTGTGCACCTTCCAAATCAGTGGTTGAACCAAAGCCTTACTCTCCAGCTTTTCACCATTAGCCACTCTCGCTGTCATGTTTTTAGTCTCCTCCGTAGTGTAGGTTAGCTCCTTAGCCAGCCTATCATCTAAGAAGCTACGAGTGCTTCCACTATCTACTAAAATAGATATCCTCATCCCTTTTAAAATTCCAGTAATTTTGATAGTTTTATGTCTTGGATTCCCAGCCAAAGCACCGATAGATATCTCCATAACTTCTTCATCTCCTTGTCCCTCTCTAGAAGTTCTTTCATTGTTCCTAGCTGCCTTATCTTGGTAACTGATTCAATTACTTTCCTCCCTTTGATCACTCCAGGAACTCTAATGGATTGGTGTTGCCACCTCCCAACCAATGCCTTCATGGATATCTCCATGATCTCCTCACCTTCTGATTTTGCTTTAGACTCGTAGCCTCTATCTTCATTTGGTCTCAGTTGTTTAATTTTGCTAAATGTCTCAACCACTTCTTCCTCAATAGTTTCTGAAAACCTCCTGCAAAGCTCATTAGAAAACAAACTCCAATTTGCTCCAGGGTGATTGACAATGAATCCATAAAACCATATATAAGCCTTCCCTTCCCAAGTACTTCTCAACCATTCCTAGCCTTAGTTCATCAGAAATCTGATGGAGTTCGAAGTAGTTTCTGGCTTCCATCAACCATTCTCTAGGTCCTTCTCCCTCAAACGGAGGGAAATCAATTTTAGGGAATCCACCATTTTCCCTTAAATTCACCTCTAGCATGAGCATCATTCTCATTACTACCATCTCCTAGTGTACAAATCACATTCCCAGACCTCCAATTAACAACCGACCCTTCTCTCCATTTGTTCTTATGTTCTGTTTTATCCATATCAGTAACAGTGCCATTCAATTGTTTATAATCATCACCCGGAACTATTACATTCTCTGCACTGAAGTTTTCATCATCCTTCCCAACACCTAAATCCAATTCCAACTTTTCAAAACTACTCTCCACGATAGTTTTCGTCTCAACAACTCGCTTGGTAACTACAACAACTAAATCATTGTCTATGTTCAAATCGTAAGAACTAACCTGCTTTACCAATTTCTCTTCTGGTTCAGAACAGGAACCCCAGTTCCCTTCCAGTTTAGAATCTGAATTATCCCTTTGTATTTCAGAAGACTCGGCTATTTCTGGGTAATGGTTAGACTGGTCTTTGGAGGCTGATTTAGCATCGATAATTTCAGTCATCATTGAAATCAGTAGCTCATGCTTCCGATTGATTTCTTCCATTATGCTATCCAATCGAGAGACACCCAAGGACTGTAGCTACTCTGGTATCATTTGTTATGGTTGGAGCTCAACTTCAACCAAAACCAACTAAACTTCAATCAAAATTAAAACACAATTGAATATAATCAGCTCGAAATCAATAACAAGCTGGAAGCTCATTAATTGACTGGAATTACATAGAAACGACAAAATGTAAATTGCATTTCATTGATCGATAAGTTTTATTACAATGTGAACAAATATAAAACAGAAAGAGAAGGATCAGCAGAGTAAGAAGAGACAGAGAAGATGGAGACAGATTCAGAGAAGTAAGACGAGGGATTCAGATTTAGAAATGAAAGAAATAAAGAAGAGAAACATATTTAGAAAAACAAGAGAAGAGGGATTACAGTATCTCAACTGTTAAGAAGGACAGAGAGAGTGGAAGACAGATTCATAGAAAAAGAGGAGAAGAAGAACATAGCAGGGGAGGAAGAGGGGAGGAAACGGCTGCAAGCCAACAGTTCGATTCCTCGATCCTTTCCAAATGCAGAGATACCACTACATATAGACCCAAAAAACTAGGGCTTTGGGCTAGCCCACTAACAATGCAATCCCAATTAGATCAAATAATGGTAAATGGTCCAATAAGCAAGAGTCCATGACAATCTAGTTCCCCATCACATCTATTTTCTTCGGCCATGGGTGTGAAATGTATAAATCACTACTTTTGTTGTTGAGAGATGATATTTTGCTGAATCTTTGTGATTTTTCAGTGTCTGCTATAAAATTGATAACGTTGTGTAATGAATATGGACATTGAAAGGCTTTTTAGGGATGACAAAAAAACCCGACGGGTAACGAGGGCCCCGCCCTGTTAATTTTTTTTTAGAATTCAATACTTTAAACGAAAATTTTCATTAGTTTTAATAGAAAATAACAACTAAAATTATTTGTCTAAATCTAATGAATATGGGCAATAAAAATAAATTATCAAAAACAAAAAAAAATAAAATTTTGACGGGTAGTAAACGGGGCAAGGACCCCGCCCCGCCTTAAACGGGTAACAGGGCGCCCTCCCCGTCCCCACCTTGTTGCCATCCCTAAGGCTTTTATTGTTGTATAATAGAACTTGGAATCAAAGCAAAAATAAACAAAAGAACACTTGGTCTAGCGTTCACTACGTGTAATATATTGGATGCCCAGGATAAAGATTGGCAATAGGAAAATGAAATTCTAAGGAAGATGGGGAAAGCCATTCCCCATTTGTCTTGGAGTATTTTTAACTAGTAAATTGATGATTGAAGAAAAACTAAGCTCTTTGTTCCCAATAAATACCCGCCTCACCCAAACACCTTCACACTTAGAAAGGAATCCCACCTGGGCCAATCTCTATCCGGGATCTGTTATTTCTATTAGGACTGCCTAATTAAGGGTCTCTATCGCAAATATAACAAGAAGTGGAAGAATTATAATTATGGACTTCTGCTGGTTAAATGTGAATGCATTTTCAACTGCTATTACTGTTAATTTAATTCTACTTCCTTTGTATTCGAAGGTAATTGTAAACAATACATAAATTTACAGGCCTACTAGTGGAGGGCTTAGAAGGCATCAAGAAGATAGAGGCTTAATTGGCTGTGAAGCAACAGCTCAGTAAATCAATATTTAATGAATCTGCAGAAATCAAAGAGCCGGTTGTGAAAATGGGCTCTGATGTTAATTTTTAAGTTTTTCCTCTACATGGTCCTCACATGAATTCGCAGCGCACAAGATTGCCATTTTTTTCCTTCTTGTTGGTTTTATATAGCTGCAGGAGTCGTCCTGCTGGTTGTAAATAATCACACTGTTAATGGGATGTTAAGTATGGTGCTGCCTCTAAGCTCATTCATATATAGTTGGCTAGAGTAGTGAAATTTTTTACTACATTCCTACCATATGCTGCCTTCTTGTTTGGAGGCCGAAATTCTTAATTTCCATGCAGCCTATATAAATAATCTTCTTAGTAATTGTTACTGTTTCATTTGTTTGGACAGCAGTGTAGTTTAGGAAATAGATTTTGTACGATAACTAACAACTATGCATTAGAACACAAAGTAGGAGAATCTCATGCTCGAAAGCAAACTCATGCCCTTGTTGGTTACATCTTGAAGCAGGAGATGAGTGGCATAGGGTCTGTATGGTTTGTTTGTTGATTAAACTCAGATATGTGTAGAGGAGAGTAAACTTCAATTGTGGTCATTGAACTTCCATTGAAATCTCAATTAAGTCACTAAACTTTATTTTATCTCAATTGGGTCACTAAACTTTGATTTAGTTTTAATTGGGTAATTAAAATTTAATCTTAATTTCAAATTTCACAACTCTATCACTTGTCAATCTCTAAAATTGATTGAAAATTACTTAATTGATGCCATATTGTTGATCTTTAATTGATGTGCTACATGCTAACTTACCATTATGTGACATCATAAAAGTGTCAACATAAGACAACATGTATTTTGATATTTTAGCCTTCGTTTGACAAATTTATAAATGATTTATAAATAAAATTAGTATGATGAATTGTAGTGGGTTCCAGGAAATGTGTGATAATAATGAGTAGTACTTATGAATTTATAATTGAAAAGAATGCATGGTTGAATAATTAATATTTGACTTTAACTTAAATTTAAAACAATTTATACACTTTTGTCCAAATGGAGGCTTAATCAAAATCATAACATATTTTACCTTTGTTGTTTCTAGAGTGTCACATGACAATCATTGTTAAGTGTTAATTTACTGATTTTCATTAGTCTGGGGACGATAGGTGACGAAATGTGATAGTATTTTAAGTGACATAAAATTAAAGTTTAAGGACTTAATTAAAAGTTTGATGAAAGTTCAAAATGCTCAAAGAGGAAAGTGTGAAAATGTTAATGGTCAAGCTCAGACGATAGGTGACAGAATGTGATAGAAGTTTAGTCTCTGTTTGAGCCATATTAAAATTTTCATTCTCATTCTTCTACTCATTTTCAATAACACATTATTCAATAAAATAATATTTTATATCACACATCAATAACTTTTCCTTATTTTTGAACCACACATTATCTATCAATCTACTATTTCAAAATACATTCTTCCAAAATAATGTAGCTCAAGCACACCCCAATTAAGTTAAACTAAGTTGAAAGATCAAAATGCTTATCGAGGAAAGGATGACGACACTAAGGCTATGTTAGATAGCACATATTTTTTAGGGAAGTTGGAAAGTTTTTTCAATTTTTTTTTTGGCAATTGGAACAAATTCTAGACCTAATGATAGAAAAAATTATCACTTTAATGGACAATATCCATAAAAAACGAAGCTAAACGGACACCAAACTTTCAATATTTTCCAAGTGGAAAATTATACAATTCAAACACAATTAATTACAATTTTCAGTAAAACAATTTTTAAACAATTCAATTCACTGTAAAACATTTTTTTCCCGCACATTTTCCAAATTTGCAATCAAATGGACCCTAACAGTTGGAAAAATTAGCCTAAGTACCATTTAAAATAATAATAATAATAATAATAATAATAATAATAATAATCTACAATATCCTCCTTTTAGAGTTTTTGAGCTCTATTCTTTTTTAGGAAAATGGACTTGTAATTTGAGAGCGTGTGGTTAAAAGTGAGTTTAAAAAAAAAAAAAAATGGGCTCAAGCACAGGTTTAATAATTACCCTACTTAAAAAAAAATGACATGGTATTTAAAATTATATGTTTATTGGTGAATGATATATTCTTGTGATCCTAGTTATTATGATTACTGTATTCCTTGCAGCTTTAATTATAAATATGAGGCTTTGGTTAGGCATGGGCGTTGGGTGGGTTAGTCCAGATATTTCAATACTCAAAACTATCCATTATACTTTTGGTATTTCGTAAATAGAACAATTCGAGTCTTTATAATTATTGGAACCAACCCAAACCCGAACCGTCCGTTTCGGTTCCGGTTCGATTTTACCCATAACATTTTGTTTTACATACATTTAATAAACATTTTCACGTGGTCTTTCAGCACTTATACTTGCCACGCTACTACTCGATAATATTTGTGTGAGGGAAAAAAGTTAGTTAAGAAATTTTCAAGAAGCAAAATAGTGGAAACAAAAAACCATGAAAATAGGAGAAAATTAAAATATCAAAGATTAAATTACAATTTAGGAAAAAAAATATTTTTTCTTAATAAGTCATTTACAAACCCATAAGTGAGACACGTTAGAGCAATTATGAACAATACTTAAATTCTTCTACTCTTAAAATGATATATAAAATACTAAATCCATACATGACTATATAGTATCAAGAAATTGAATTCCACGTATTGAACTTGTTCTATTTGAATAAAAAAGAAAAATTATAATTTGAAAGAGAATTACGAACTCAAGATAACAAGAAAGGTGCACTGCATCCCAAAATATAAGATGAACAATACCTAATAAAAAGCTCGAATTGCAAAGACTGAACGCTTTGATTCATCATCTTACACTACAATCTAGCTAAAACTTCTTGATTCATAGAAAGCCACAAATTGCAAATATTAATATGTACTAACCTCTTAAATGAATAAATCTAATGTGAGGCGACATCAAAAAAGTAAAAGTCGGTTTTTATTTTTTAGGAATAGAGTTTAGAGTTTTAGACTAATTACTATCCAAATTATAGTTTTAGGTTTTATATTTTTTTTACCCATCTTCTAAATTATGAATAAAAAATTCAATTCGAGTATCCACAATTCTAATTTAGGAACCAAAAATGGAACCGGACCCAATCGGTTATTGGTTTCAATTTTTAATTTATTTTTTTTGGGAATTGGACCGAAACCTCTTGCTCCGGTTCGTCTTCGATTCGAGAGGATTGGTTTAGGTTAAAATGCCCAGGCTACGTTTTGTTATCAATGAAATACACACAAGGAAATTTTTCTACTTTCTTCTTTCTCTCTCTTTATTTTATGACAATTTATCAACAAGAAGTTCTAGATAATTGAGTTAACAAAATTTATCTTTCTTTCTACTCATAAATCTCTAACCATGTTGAGGTAGGAAAAGCAATTTATTGAAAAAAAGGGAGTACTTCATGTGTGTTCCAAAAGAGATTGAAATTTCAATTCATCTTCTTATCACAAGTGAACTCGACGGAATGTAATAATTCTCTCTCTCTCACACACACACAATCACGCCCATATATCGGAATCAGTTTCAGTAACCCTTTTTATGTTTATTGGTGGGCTGTAAGTAGTTAGTTTATTTGTCATTTATGATTATATAAGTAATCAATTTAACATAGCGGTGGTCATTTTTATGAAAAAAATATTATTTTAAATATTAAATTCTTGAAGAATGTGTGATTAAAAGGTATGAAAAGTTTTGTGCTTATATGTAAAATATTTTATTATGTGAATGTTTGGTTGAAAATGAATATGTAAAAAAAAGAGTTTTAAAGGAATGAGAGACAAAAAATGGCATAGTTTATCAAATTAATTATTTCATCAATTAATATATTAAATTGATGTTTGCCATTTGTGAGTTCAATCAATTTTTAGATGTTCTTTTATCTTCTTAAATTGATACATATCATATTATTGCTCCTGAAAAAATGTAATCATTTAAATGTCAATATTGTATTAAAATATTACTTACGCCCGAAATATCAAAAGATAAAACATATATTATGTTTTTGCTCTAGATGAGTACATTCTTACATAATTTAATATTTTTAGATAATATTCTGTTGTTGCTCTTGAAGTGGCAAATTATTATAGTAATATTCTTATTTACTTCTGAAAAGTGTGGCATTATAATTTCAATATTTCAAAATAATATTGACTTGTTGTCCTGAAGAAACAATAATAAAATATAATTTTTTTTGTACTTTAAAGGTAGCATATGTCTCAAAGAAAATTATATGATCCAAGATACGATATATATGAAAATAAGTTGTTTATTCTAACGGAATCACACAAATATGTAAATATTCTAGAAGAATATTGCAGCATTCAATATTCCAGAATAATATCACGTCTAATCTAATAAAGAAAATGTATTTTTTGATAATGGTAAAAACTAATGTTAGTAAAATATAGATTATGCAAATCTTATTCAAGGCTAGCAGAATCAATATTCTGTAATATGGAGGAACAAAATTTACTATGGGAAAGTTTGTTAAAAGATCCAGTCAAACAATGTAGTTGAATAAATAATATTTTCTCAATGTTTGTTGGTGAAATGATCTCAATTACAAAATACAATAAATAGACATTATCAAATGTCTAAAATATCCTTATCATGGAAAAGATCCAAACACCCTTTCAATCCAATCAAATTTCCCAATTCATCTCCAATCGTATCAACGTGCTCTCCGTCTCTCTGTGCTTGCTACCCTAAAATCTTGTTATTCAGTGCATGTCTGGGAGCAAGATTTCTTGCCAAAAAATTGATTTTTGAACCATTGAAGAGGAAGAGTAGCAGCCATTGTTCATTGGCTGTGTCATAGGTAGGGCCCAGACTTTGAAAAAAATGGCTATATTTCTCATGAAACTCTGATGGAAAGCCCCTCCAGACACGGCCTCATTATATTCCTCACATATCTTCTCCAACATTTTGAGCATTTGAACAAGAATTT